TTAGAGTAGAGTTATTTGCTCTTCGTGTGGGACATGTGGAATTGCAGAGAACTTTGAACTGATACCAAAAGAACAGAACACTCTGCATTTGTGGGTGATTCACAGCCCTCAAAGCTGAGATTTTTTTTTTTTTTGTGAGAAGGAAGCCACATTACATTCACCACACAAAAGTTTGTTTGTACTTTTCATTTTAAGATAAAATCACTGGAGATCCCTCTTAAGCTCCTCTTAAATCAGGTTCTGTAAAAACAACTAAAATATTTTAAGACCCACAGAAGATTTTGGCAAAACTACCTTCTGAATTTCTTTGGCTTTTGCAACATTTTCACTCTTCTGTTGTAACATCTTTTCAATAGCTTGAAGGCCACCGTTAATAGTCTCTGCTTTTCTTTTCAGCACATACTGAGGAGAGCTCTGCAAGATTTCAGTGTTAACCTGTCACAGTAAAGAGAAAAATGAAAGTGAAGATGACAAAGATCAGCTTGTTCTTTTCTCCTCACCACCTTACCAAAACCAATAGAATTCTTTTTACATTTTTCTGGCAAGTCACTTGAAAGACACAGGAACTGAATTATATTTGCTAGGAGATGTGTTAACAGGAACAACATTCACATGTCATTCAGTCAATTCCTTTCACTTAAAATGACTGCTCAAAAAAGGCAATCACAAAGACAGAAGCAATAAACCTGCAACCAGCTGAATGCTTCAGCTGGCCTTTCCATGATACAGACTTCCAGGTAGTAGAGGCCAATCAAACTGCTCCATGGACAGGGTTTTTTTTTTCCTGCTGTAAAAAGAGTCTAGAATGGGACCACTATCTCAGCTGATATCTATTTCTTCCACAAATTATGGAAAAACTTACCAGAAATGAAAAACTGGAACAGTGTAGGGCCTGATTTTCTACATAGCTAGAGAAAACTTGCAGATGTGCCCAAGCTGAGTAACAGCCTAGGCACAGAACTGAGCCATGCAGGCTACCATGGACCAGAGAAGTGCAGGGACTAGGAAAGCCAGGTCTTAGGCCAGGGTGAAGTACTGCCAGGTGGTAAGCCCAGCTGAGGACTGGGATCTTGCTCAGCCATGGCCTGCAGCCATGGGCTCTGCGGGTTCATTTGTACCTGCAGCTCAATGCTGCATGGATGCAAAAATATCTCCAGTTTGGAGTTATTCTAGTTTGAAGTATTTATACCAAAAGACTTTTATCTTCTGGTATCATGGGAAGAGGAATAAATAGCATCATTTATTTCATCACTTATTTATTTATTCATTTTATTTGTTCATTTGTTAATATTATTAACTTTTTATTATTATTATTTATAGATACTGACAAGCACTGTCAGAACAATACAATGGTATCCACAGCAGAACAATGTATTGATAAAATTGCTTTAATTAAAATAAATATCAATCAAAAAGAACTACTACTGAAACATTTTTGCTGATAAAAAAGAGCTGTGAAACCCAGTGCTTATTTAGTGCCTAAGACTTTCCAGAAAAACAGTTTAGTGACTATAATCACTAAATACTTGCCTGTTACTATCCTGGAGCATGCAGAACATGAAAAATTATTGATTGTTGTACTTTTTTGTACCAAAAAAGTGGAAAAGAATGATTCAAGAGTGATGAGACACAGCTGGAACTGAAAAGGCAGACCAACCACAGATTGTATCTCTTCCATTAAATAAAACACTGGATCTGTTAATGCTTTGGTCATCAGTAGGGCAGTTTACTTTTAGGATTCCTTATGGGGATAAGTTTATCATATTTATCATATAAATTGCATTATATCAAAAACGCTGTTGATTCTTTGGTAACCATATTGAAATGAGAATTTAATACCATTAAAATAATTAAAATTCAATCAGGCTGCTATTTATTAGTATGTAACTAAATAAAATTCCAGTTATACTAGGATTTATATATAAATATATATATGTGTGTGTGTGTATATATATGTGCAATATGTTTTTACAAATATATATATATATAAATAAATAATATTGTTTCATTCACACATTAAAAAAGAAAAATCCAAATAGTTACTTTGTTTTTCACTACCAAATATGAAAAGCAAAAAGTTGCCTAGATTCCAGGACCAATTCTGCTCTAAAATTTAACATATGTATTGGATAATCTTTATTCTTTTTATTTTGGTGACAAACAGTAGGCAAAACATCCCTCCGAAACCGTCGTTTCTCCTGCCCAATTACTGGTTTTGAAAAGACTTCTTCCGTTTTGAAATCAAAACTAGAAAGTTAACCTAATTAAAACTAATTAGTTGTAATGAATATGTCACTAAATATTGAAGGTCACATAAAATCAATGAATAATCTGATAGACACTAATAAGTAACTGGGCTTAAAATTTGTTTTATTAAGTTTTCAAGTTTTACCAAATTATCTGTCCTTAAAATTAGCATTACATGTGATTATTTCTGAAAGAGAAGAACTAAAAAAAAAAAAAAATTTAAATAAATAACTATTCCAATTTCAGCTGGCTAAATTTTTATATCAAATTTAGAGCTTGACTTATGGTATTGCTCCATTTTTTTAATTGGTTATGCCCCTTGTACATAGACAGTCATGCAAAAAGCCAAGACAACGTCACGCAGCTATTGAAACCCCCGACTGTTGTTAAAGGAACACAAGTGTGTCCCAAGAGTAGTATGAAGAACAATGTTAGGCACAGTATTCTATAATATGTGCAAGTCTGATTTAAAAAATGGTTTTGAAATCCTCTTTTAACTTACTTTTGAAAAAAATCTCTTCTCAATTAAGCAATACAAACTCTTCAATCTATTTTGGCTTCAAGTTCAGTTTAAGAAACAGCCATGGCAAGAAGATGGCACTCACAGCATACCCAAAACCCTACATGCTTTTTATTGGTAGTGGCTCTCCCATGTCCTCTTATAATGAAAAGAATTCTTTTATATTCACATAATTCAGTGTAAGGTTATTCTAAAAGGAGTTTAGCACAGGGAAGTCTTTCTCATGCATATGTTTTCACCAAGAGGAAAATGCAATGCGAAAAATACTAAACCAATGTTTCAAGTTGAAATTTATAGTAATAATAGTCACATGTTACACTTATACATTTTTAAAAAGCAGTAGGTATGAAAATTGCAGTTACCTTGTCTTCCAGGTCTTGTAATGTTTTCTTGCAGTCCTCCAGGCGCGTTTCAATCTCTGCAGGCACTATTGTGTACATTTCGGAATACTTGATCCGGAGTTTCTCCATAATACCCTGAAGAGTTTGAGTCTCTTTGCCAATCAAATTCTGAACCTCCTACAACATTAAGGAAAAAAATCACCAGTTTTACTCAATTTTATACAGTGCCTGTGCATTTGTGGTTATATTTACCTACATATATACCTGAACGTACGCACACAAATACACACCCAGATATATATTTAGTATTTTATATTTTCTACATGATTATGATTTTAAGCAGTCATGCATTTGGCTACCTCTGCAAAAGAATTAACCTTGAGAAATACTCGCTCGTTTAATCAAATGATGCTTTTCAATCGGTAAGAATTAATTAAACTTGATACTACTCCATGTCCAAACAACTGATGCACTGATGTTTATTAACGGGTATAACAATGTAATCATATGAAGTGCTTCTGTGATTAAATGTTAACCTTTGCGCTGCCTCTTTTAACCAAAGTGCATTTTTCCTTTGAAAGACGTTTAATAGCCAGTGTTCAGTCCTTCATTATTGTAAACAACACAAAAGCCACAAAAAGCAACAGGTTTCAAGCAGGAGTGTCTGCTTTCAGGCAGTTACGCAGAGCAGCACAGCAGGCTCCTTTCGAAACAGTAGTTTCCAGTTCTACATGAAGAATGTGGGCTTTATGAGATGAAAGAAACTTGAACAACTGTCTGCAGCCTTGTGGCCTGGAAACAAAATCCGATCTAAGTCCTCTTAGAGTGAGAATGAAGGAATTCATTTGTTCTGAAGGCTTCCAGAGTTTCATGTTGGAAACTCTGGCTTGTTTATGGTTCCTCTCCCTAATGTTCAGCTGTTTGAGAAACTCAGATGTTAGTCAAGTTATTAGAGAAAGAGATCTAAAGCTCGTGACAGGCCCTGAAAGACATGAAATCTAACATCCTCTTCTTTGAAAATCAGGAATAGTAATCCAGTAATTCTTAGTCTTCACTGAAGGACCTTTTTTACCTTTTCCCTCAGACAAATAATTATATTTGCACAGAACCTAAAAGTCTGAAACAGATTTATTTCCTGTCATCCAATTGCAATTGGGTCCAATATGAGGGAGGAAAAAAAAAGAAGAAGAAGAAAAAAAAAACACAAGCATGAAACAGCTACATGCCTAATTCCACCATGGGGAGGTTTCTTGCTGGCAAATGGCCCAAGACTGTGGTCAACATTTATTACAGATTCCCTAACTTGCATTTGAAAGTCTTTTCTCAATTTGCCATTGGGAAGGGCAAAAGTTAGGTATTTTCTTTTGATAAATGAAATTTATTGCTCCAAATATAATGCTACAGATTTTAGAGAAATCAGATTTTCTTGGGAAGGAGAGATGTAATTGCCCTGTGGGTTTTGGCTTACTGGTATTTGTGTTAAGTAAAATCAGGGAAATTTTCAATTTCAGTTGATTCTTTTCAAAAGGAACTGTATGCTGTGACATACTGAAACTAAGTCACATAAACAAAAAGACAAACAAATCATTTGTGAGGATTGCTGCTGCTATTTGCCTACACTGACTGCTGTCTAAACTTGCCCTTGGGGCCAATCCCCATCTTCTGTTTGACTGAAGAATCACAGTTGAATGAAATGAATGAAAAGGAGCAGGCACCAAGCACCTGTGCTGATAGCATTTCCTTCTGGATATAAAGAACTCATAAAATAGCAGCTCAATGTTGACATAATTTTAGAGGAAAAAAACAGCCCTTTAAATCCACAAGGTTTCACCAGGTAATGCTGGCTCACATCTCTCAGAAACTTCCTAAATCTGTAGTTAGCAATTCTCTCCAGTGCTAATTCTTACAAAAATGCTCATCTATGCCACCATATTCCTTAGTTTCTGTTTTCTTTCAAAGTCCTCAGCCTTTTGCCAGCTCGCAGCACACACCTTCTAACAAGAGTACATGATGGGGACCTCCTGCTATTTTTTGTGCAAGACTCAGCACATGGAGTCCCATTTTTTAATAGGTCCTAGTAGGCTAAAGTAAATAAATGAAGGTCAACAGTTAAAAGAATATATAAATTTAACAACATTTAAAGTTTAATCAAGATTTGAATTTAACATAATCATATAAATCTAATACCAATAAATTGAAACTAATCTAATTAAAATACTAAACAAAGACCTACTCAAGAGCCATTAGGAATAATAACATTTCACTAAGTTAGGGATTCAAAGAAGGATGGCAAAAATATCCTGAAACGATGGAAAGATTTTAGAAGTAAATTGGTTTGGTGCAAGTTTAAGGCTGGCACAGACTGGTCTAGATCACAACTTGTTTTCCGAAAAAGATTTACCATGTTAAACCACTGATGTGGAAGATCAAATATGGACCACGTGGAGCTGCTCTTGCTAGGTATGCAGAGGGGAAGGTGCATGGGAGGTGTATTAGTTTTGCCTAAAAAACAGGCAATTGGCCATGACACTGTGATCTGAAAAACATGTGGCTGCAAACTGGCCGATGCAGAGTGAGGGGGATTCAAACTAAGGACACGGCAGCGCCAAGCACATCCTGCCCACATGCCAGTCTCGTCCTCTTTCAGTTGATAATGTATATGGACAGACGTACATCCTGGCATTAATTCTATTTGGTTTGAGTTCGAGCCCCAGTGAAAAACGAAATATGCTCAGAAAGATCTGCCCCCCGCAATTACACAGCCTCTACCAACCTCCAGTTGTCCTGCCTTTTCAGGAGCATCTTGTGATAACAAAAATGCAGCGCTCTGTAAGGAATTTTTCACAGCACTTATTTCTTCATTGATCTTGTCCCTCTCTTGAATCTCAGACTGTACAGAATCCTTATGGTCTTGAGCCTTTTTATACAACCTATGAGAGATTTCCAATGGGAACTCATTAATTGTAAGACTCTATATTGATTAGAAGCAATCAAATAAAATGTTAATATTTTAAATATACATCCAGAACCATATGTGCTTGTATTTTGGTGTTATTTTCTGGGAAAAAAAAAACACTGCATTTCTGTCCTTTACTGCCTCAGTTTCTTGAAATAGGAGTCTTCAGATACTGTTAAATAAGAAATGCTTAGACTATATCAGACTAAATTAGAGTAAATCAGATAGGATTCATATTTTACTAATCAAGCCAGAAATGGATTTTGATTTAAATCTACAAAACCTTGTGACCTCCACAAGTCACCATCATCCCTTCCAGTTCCTTCCAAATTCAAACAAAAAATTGCAGCCCACACAGAACATGACCAGGGTCAGGTTCTCACTAAGCAGTGTCTCCTGTTGCTCATGCTGGAGCCAGTGGACAGGTTGGATGGAAAAATCGCGCAGCCCAGCAAGCGTCACTCATGATTTTTGCAAGTCTGTTATGTCTTTTAAATGTTCTTCAAAGCTCAATAAAATGCCAAGCTTATAAATAGCGCTACTTCATGGCTTCCAGAGTGAAATTTCCCATCACTTACTGTTTACAGCGGTCTTGCATCGCCTTTATCTCATGCAAGGTGGGAAGAGCAGCTTCCACCTCAATATTTTCAGACATATTGAGGATGTTTCTTATTCGGTGAAGAAGTAAGAGTAAGAGGAGCTGCTGACGGTTGATGTTCTCTTCAAATGAGTTGACAGAATCTAGCAATTCTACCAGTTCCTCTCTGCTGGCTTTTTCTTTCTCTTTAAGACTTTCTGGCTGTTCTTCCTGGAGCTTATCGAGAATTATTGTTTCTCGTTCCAGCTAAGTAAACAGCATGTTGAAGTATGAGATAAAGTGGTTTTTATTTGATCACCTTAAATTACACTATTCATTTATGCACACACATGACCAATACTGGGAACTGTGTAGCCAGGGAGCCTGAGCCACTGAAGGGTGCCCAAACCTTTGAGTTTACTCTAACAAAGCCTATCTCTACAGACAGAGTCATGTTGGGTTCAGAGGATTTACACTATGTGTCTCCATGATTTTTGACCCAAAATTCAAGACTGGCTGGAGCTATCTGGCCCGTCATTGGGAGGGAGATTATGTTCTGCACTCATCTTAGCAGTTCACACATCTTTTTACTAGCTGACAGTCCCAGCCCCATCACACTCCTCAATACTTGCACTGTTTGCTGAACAA